ATTTGTGTTTTCTTCTTTATTTATATGCATGCAAATTATGATGAAGAAAACAAATTATGTTATTATTAAAATGATATTATGTTTGAACTCATTATGGACTTCTCATTATAAAGTCATATTAAGGAGAAAGAGATAATATAGTGGTACATGGAAGGGAGTCTGTTGATTGAATGACATGTAACCGCCATGACTCTTGTTATAGCTGTATCTTTAATTATGAATGATGATATAACCAATTTATGTAAGGTCCTTTAATGCGCATTATGACTTAAGTATTAAATTACAGAATCGTATGACATCACATGAGTCAAGTGGGAGAATGTTAGAATTAATTTAATTAATTCATTCCATTATGTGACTCATGTGAAATATAATAATGGGCCCAAATGTGATTTAATAAAATATGAGGACCTATTGGTTATTATGTGAAGTTAGAATAAAATAAAGATAAAATAAAATATTAACTTACGGTAACCAACTTGATGGACGTTGGTTAATTGAATGGAATAAGGGTTCTGTCTCTGGTCATAAAAGGTTTTTTTCACGGTAAACCATCAAGAAAGCGTGAGAAGAGAAAGAAAGACAAAGAGATAGATTGGGAAAAAGAAGATTGGAGAACGAGAAGATTAAAGAATAAATTTTCATGGATCAAGGTTAGTTCTCTTATTATGATTCATGTTATGTTGTGAAAATCAATAATCTAAAGATCCTGTAGAGTAGTTTTCTATAATGAATTAAGAACGTAGGAAAACTACATAATGTTTTACAGTTTTTACATAAATTTTCATATTTTTAATTTTGTTTTTCTTTTATAAATTCTTTTTAGTTAGACGTGACTTCAAATTGTTTTAAATGTAATTTTTTTCTAAAAGAATTAAAAAAAAACATCTCTAAATCTTTTAATGAAACAAATGACAAATAAAATAGAATAAAAGCATTCAATATGTAATTACAGCTACAAGAAACTACTTTTTCTCTTCTCCTAATCTCCTTGAGATAGAATTAATAATTCCTTTATTAAATTAAAAATATATACACTCTAGTGCATTTTCAAATCAAATAAGATTATAAATTGGATTAGATGATATGTGTAATATATGATAAGGCGATGATATATTATAATTTAGTATTTTTCTCTATTTATTTTTACGTCTTTTAATATTTTTTTGAAAAAATAAAATTAAAAATGTATTTTAATAAAATAATTACGAGATTTAATAGTTTAACTTTCTATCGTTTTATATTACAATAAATACATATATAAATTAACTAGAAATTAATAACCATAATTATATATATATATATATATATATATATATATATATATATATATATAGTATGTATGTATACAGTTAGCAATACGAATGTTTGTATTTTTGTTTTAAATATCTTCATTTAGGATTTCTACTTTGTTAAATAATATGTATTATATTTTTTGTTTAGAGAAAAATATAAGGAGGATCTTAAACTATATAGATTTTTATTTAATACTTATAATTGATATAAAATTATATTTAAAAACTTGATATTGATTTGTTAATAGGAAAATAACGGATTATCATCAAATATCTTGTAATTTGGAGGTATTGAGTGGATGTGGTGTCACTAAGAGGAATATATCATCATTGACATCAACACAAGTATGGTTTTCAGGCCAAATTCTAAGTTTTTTAATAGTTATTTAGGTGTTAGTTTGCCAAAAGTTTTTTATTTTAGTTGTCTTTTTCTAATCATATTTTTTAAACTTTTTTTTTTCACAAAAAACGTTATGATTAAGGTGTTTAGGTCAATTGATTTAGTTTAGTTTGGATCTAATTTAATATAAAATTTGAACCAAATCAAACTAATAGTTAAGATCAATTTTATGATTTTTTATTCTTATAAATAATTAACTATTTTATAATGACAATTTTTTAAATAAAGAGATACATTACATATATTTTTGCTATATATTATTATTATTATTATTATATTCATGATTTTTATTATTTTATATTTATAAATAAATTATACAGACTTATAATTAAAAATTATTATAATATATTTAATAATTATAAATATATTGTAAATAAAATACAATCTAACCATAAATCAACTTTATAATTGATAATTAATTTCAAATATATAATATTATAAATATAATAAACACATTCTTGTTCCATTCTTAATTCTAATATAAAATTTGAAGGGGATTTAAAAAAAAAAACTAAACAAAAAGAATGTTGGTTTTCATTCATTTTTTATTTCTTAATTAGTTTTCTATTTTTTTTATTTACATAGTATTCTTGATATAGTTCTATTTCTATAACTCTAAGTCATGTTACTCATTTATGCTTCTATAAATGCCAGGAAGCTTAAAAAAAAAAAAGATAATGCAATTTTGTCTTATCACGACTTGAGTGTCAGAGTATTTTTACACTTACCACAACTTCTAGTTATCCGATACCAAGAACTTGTCACCTTAAAATGTTAAGTAAACACGTCGAGAAGACCCTGTATTAGTAAATCAAAGAGAAGGTTAGTATTCGACCTGTAAGAACACTAATTGGCGCCTACCATAAGACCGAACAAGACACAACCAATGATATATACTAGAAATATGATTAACGTAGAACGACAAAATTAACTGAGAAGAGAGAATTAAGTTAGTGAAGTAAACCCTCCTAGCCAAATGGAGAAGAGAACTTAGAATTTCCAAGAGGAAAAGCTTGAAAATAATAATGACATTGACCGAATTCGGAAGCGACTAGAAGAAAAAGAAAGGGAGCACGACTCATAAAGTTTGATAACATCTAAAATGCAAGAGCAATCAAGTAGTACTCGTCCTCCGTCGCCCGTCATGCAGACTCAAATATGCTCCGGTGCAAACGCCACCTTAGGAGGGACACTAAACCCCATACCAGCCAGAGGACCACGTCGACACCTTTTTATCGACAAAATTATTGAGGTTCCCCTGTTAGCTTCTTGGAAAGGTCTAACTGTAGGTCGATATGATGGGACGACGGACCTAGACTAGCACAATATGTGACCCAAATATCCTTTACACCATCGAGAACACAATCTTGTGTCGAGTGTTGCCCACCTCGTTAAAGGGAGTTGTGTTGAACTGGTTTACAAGACTACCCTCATACTCAGTCAATTGTTTCGAAATCTTGGTGGCCAAGTTCGGAATGCAATTCACCACTAGTCAACCACATCATCTCACATCAATTAAGGCAAGAGAAAAGTGAAAGCCTCAAGGCTTTCAAGAAAGGTTCGAGAAGGTAGCCTTAAACACAAGAAACCTAAACCTAGAAGCTATTTTGCATCACCTGGTGATGACCTTAAAGCCTAGGTCATTTGCCTATAGCTTGTGTAAAATGTCGGCAAGAGTCCTCGATGACCTAAGAAGAAGGGTAGCTAAATTTATGCAACTACAGAAGCTAAGAAAATATCACAATGAATAAAGGGTCAGTAACTCTACGGAGATCCAGTCGGTCGAGAGGTATCAAGGGAAGATATAGCTCTGATATCAATTGTTAGGATCAAACGCTTACCACTAGGCTAAAAGCTATAGTCATTAGTCAGAGCGCAACTCTTTTTACTTAAGAGATTTGATTGTGACTCGGTCCACCCGGCCTCCGCCACGAGACAATTGATGTTACTTGTAACAAATGTTGTCTCACAACAAGCAAGGAAAATAAGAACTCCACACTTCATTCATTACAACGTCAACCTGACACGACTCTTAAAAGAGGCGTTAAGTGCATACCTAATCCGTGTAATGAAGAAAGTGTCAACTTCATCCAACACCACCCACAATAAACATTGTCGGTATAATCAAAATTATGGGTATTCAACTGAGAACTGTGTCGCTTTATGAGAAAAAATATTATGTTGAGAAAAAGTTTGGTTGCAAATGATTGTAAAAGAAAAAAATGTGATAGTGAGAAAATGAAATTAAATGAAGTAATAATTATATATAAAATTCAAACAAATATATATTAAAATAAAGAAAAAGATAAGAAATATATATTTTATTATTTTATTATTAAAATGAAATATTAAGATATTATTATTATTATTATTATTTAAAATAAAAGAAAAAATATTATATTATTATTTTAATTTAAATAATTTAAATTATAATATTATTAATATTTAATATTTTATTATATTTTTACTTTATATCATCAATAAAATATAAACATTCATAAGAGCAACTCAATTTTATCATATATCATAACAGGTTTGTCTCTTCTATAGGTTAAAATATAGTTAAAATATAATTTTAGTGGAGAATAATATAATATTTAGAATGAATTTGATGGATAGATTCTAATAAAAATTTAATATTAATTTTTTTATTAAATTATCTAATAGCCAATTTAAAACGATAGAAAAATCTAAAAACACAAGATTAAGACATTTTTTATTAAAACAAGTTAAGACTTTATTTGAGAGTTATTTAAAAGATAGAAATGTATTGTGTTAAACATATAAATTAGTTTTGTCGTTTAGATTTTCAATTTCATCATTATACTTAAAAACACGTTGAATCAAATTTATACACTTACATATGTAAACATGATTCCATTTGATCGTTTTTATCAATAACTTTTTTTATGAATATTTTCGAGCCTGAAACTAAAATAAATATTCTGACTTAAAAAATATAATTTATTAGATATTTAATTTAAAAGAAAAAATTTATTAGACGCTAAAAGCAAAATCTAACATGTGGATGTGAAACTTATCTAAGACAAAAAGTTTTATTCAAAATTAGTCATCTCATAAATTAAAAATATAATGAATTATGTAAAATTAAATTAATTTAAATAAAATTATTTAAAACTTAATAATAAAAATGTAATAGTATATAAAATTTTTAGTTTTTAAAAATAAAATTACTGCTTTAATAACAAATACATGTAATATATAATATTAATTAGATAATATTAACATAAATCACACACACACGCATATATATTATTTTATTTTTTTCTTCTTGATTTGAGACCATGGCAAGAGTGATTGATTCCCCGGGTACCACTTTTACACCTTCTCTTCACTGTAGTTGTTTGCTTGCAGTGGCAATGGCGCTCTCCCCCGCATTCCAGGAACGCCTCCACCACATGGACCGCACTCGAATTCAACGCCTCTCTCTTCTCCAGGTCCAATTCGATTCACCTCCACCAATTTTCAGTATTTTGCTCTTCAATTTCCCCATAACCTTGCTAAGACCCGAATCCTCTTTTTCTACTTTCTAGGCCGAGAAAGAGTTGCAAGCCAGCAAGTCCCGCGCTTTGGCTTCCAAACTCGCAAGCATCAGGGCCTCGGAACAGAGGTGCTCCTGGCTCGATCACAAAATCGCGTCACAGCATTTCAAGCTTCTCGCTCTCAAGTCTCAAATCGAGAACCTCGAAGCCAAGCACGATTCGCTTTCACTCCAACTCAGGTGTATTGAAAACTTAAATAATGTCTATTATTTATTGAAATGGTTGATTAAATAGGGCTGTTTTAGGTTGTTGCAGAACGAGGTGGAGGAGCTTGAGGAATTGCTCGACAAGAGAGAGAGCTTTTACGAGGCCAAGAGGACAGAAATGAGAGAATTCAAGGAAATTGAGGAGAGGTTTGTGGTGAAATGTAGAATGGAAGTTGAGAGTATGAGGAATAAAGTGAACCTGGTAATTACATGTTTGATTAAAAGTAAAACAGTTAACAGTTTCTCTTGGTAGAATTTACATGAAACTAGCGAAATGGATGTGATGTGAGTTAACTGGTGATTGCTAAGTTTTTGGTTTGGCATGTGTTTTGGTTTTCAGTTGAGGTCCTCTTTCATGGAACTCAAAAGTAACAGTGGCGACTCTTGCAATCCCGAGATTACTGCTGCTGAAATGAGAAGGTTGGAACTCCTGGCTGAAAGGGACAATGTTTGTAGAATCATTGATCATAACCACCAAATAAAAGCACAGTTGCAAAAACAGCTTCAGACTATTCTGATGACGCAAACGCAAGATAAGGGATCAGAATTGAAGACTGCTACTGGCTAACTATGATTCAACTGGAAGGAAGGCCTACTTTTTTCATTCTGATTCATAAAATGAAGAAAAGGGGCATTCTGTTATGAGGACTCGGTCAGAGAAGCAATACGTCTTAGTTTGTCGTTGTATTTGAGGGGAAGCCAATTATCAAAACGTTGATCAAGGATTGCTTGGTTTATGTTTTTCATCATGAAGACCGAAGAGATGGTGAAGACATTTGTTAAAACTTTTAACAAGCAATATTTTGGTAAGTAATTTGATCTATATTTGTTATGTCTTCGTATATTTTTAATCTCTGTCAGTGGCTAATTGTCTTGAAACGTATCCACAAAGGATCTACATATGATGAAGCCCAACAACAGTATTTGTATGATAAAGATAGCTTACTTTTATTGTCAAAGTTCATGACAGACACCACTGCTACGAGTTTCGCTCCTCCAACAATGGATTATTCTTACATTACACATCAAAAGTGATTTTTTTTTAAACAGCATCAAGAATCATTAAGAAAAAAATGAAATAACTAGAAAATATTAAAAAAATACATGTACATTCAACTGCATTATACAAATAATAGGCACTAACTTAAAGAAGTTTTATGATCAAGAAAAAAATGACGTTTGTCTCAACATATAGGTAACATTCATATAAAGATGATGTTAAATATTGATGAAAGTAGTGAAAAAAAATCCTGGACGCATTTATTATGATGGTTTTATGGAGAGTGCATATGAGAGTTGTACTTTGGTTTTGAGCTTTTTTGAGATCTCAAAAACATGCATGTAAAACTCAGCAATGTTGTTTTAGGTTGTTGTAACTTAATAACAAATATCTCTTATTCATTTATATCTACCTGTTGTTTCATTAATTCAAAATATATGTAGTTGAAAGTGCATTATTCTTTTATCATATGAGAAGACAATTCAGGGACAAATATCTTGTGAATATGAAAGTTTTACGTAATGTTGCGTTGATCATTATGGAAAATTCCCATTTTCTATCCCTATATCTTATATAGTTGATGTTGTCAGCATTAGTTACAGAAAATGTAGTTTCTATATATTATTTTTATCTTTCATTTCTCTATATCTTTTTTTACTACACAGAAAAAAAAAAAAGTATACCATATTAGTTTACTCCTTAACCATCATTTCCTTTTTCAACTAAAGAAGAGGGGTTTATACATCAACATGACGCTAAGATTAAAATAAAAAATAAAAAATATTGGAACAAATTACTGAGAACTATTTGATTTCCTAAAAAATGAAGAGTAAAATAAGGCAAGATGAAGATAAAAAAAATTATTAAAAAACATATTAAGATAATTAACAAGTTTATCACAATTAGTTAAATCAACAAGTTTATCACAATTAGTTAAATCATCTAATAACAGTTGAAGATAAATATTAAAGACTTCGTTCACAAATATTTTTCGGACTTACACACTTGAATAGAGTCTTATTAGTTCAATTAGTTAAAAGGTAAAGTGTTTATTGTAAAAACATTCATAAATCCTATAAGTGGGAGTCTCTATTAGGTCTCAACAGCATACATTTGCTAGTAAATTTTCTAAATTAGTAATACAAACTTCATTTAACACAATAATTTTGGAGACAAAAACATAATAAAACAATTGAATGAGATTATGATACAAGTTAAGATTTTCTTTTTACTAGCAAACCTACTATGTGGTTGTAGTATAAACAAGTGTCATATTTTAAAGGACCTGTGAAGTATTCAATGACATTTATAGATTTAAGTTTAACTTTTAATTAAATAAGAAATTTAGACATGTTTAATAAATTAATTGTGAAAGTTTTAATTAAAGCGAGAAAATTACTTTATGGAAACTACAATATCAAATAGATATATTGAGAATAAATTTCACTTATCTCTTTCTTTTGTCTTCTTCTTAATCACATATTTAATTTTTTAGTTCAATGCTATTAAGTCTTAAAATTTCCTCTAAGCAATCCCTTATTTTAGAGTTTCTAAAAATCCTATTGTAATAATTAATCTCTTAAGAATCGTTAAAATAAGTTTTTTTGTATTACACTCAGAATTATATCAACTAATAATATCACATTCATTCCTAGCATACAACATTATTAGATAATTTGATTTAAACATATCCAAGTTCACTTCTCCTACATAAACCCAAATCAGAAATCAAAATATAGTTGATTAAGTCACCTTAGCTTTAAGATTACATATATATGTAAGTCAAGAGAAGTATAAAAGAAGTTAATAAGTTACATTCAATCTCAATACAAGATAAACTTAGCTACTCATGATGAGAATAAATACAAACTAGAGTTAGAAACTCAAGGGTAGAAGATGAGTCTTCTTCCTCTCCTTTTCAGTCTCTTAAACCCTATTCTTTAGTGTTTTTTCAGCCACCACTCAAAAGTTTCTTCTTCTCTTTATATGTTTTCTCTTTTAATGATTTCTTGCTCAAGCGAGAGAGAAACTTGATCCAGGAGAAATCTAGTATCGCTCAAGCTAAAGTCCCCTCGCTCGAGTAAAGTTAAACCCGAGAGTCACCAAAAGTTACAGTTTCTCTCGCTTAAGCAAAGTATATCTCGCTTGAGCGATGTTAAACCTGAAAGTCACCAAAAGTTACAGCTTTTCTCGCTCAAGTGAGGAATGTCTCGCTTGAGCGAAATTGAGCTCGAGAGCCACTAAGAGTTTTAATGTTTCTCGCTCAAGCGATGAAATTCAACTTGAAAATCACCATGAGTTGTAGCTTTTCTAGCTCAAATGAGGCATGTCTTGTTTGAGTGAGAGTTCCCCTGTCATGTTGACATACTTCGTTGACTAATCAATTTTTTATACTCTTCTAATTTCTTTTCCAATAGTTGATTGTTTCTTTCTTCTTCTTCTTTTCAATTTCTGTACCTAATTATGTATAAAAATAATATAAGCAATTTATTCTAAATTGGAGAAATTCCTAATAAAAATTAAGGTAAAATTATTGTTAAGTGTTCCTAAAAATTCATATTATAAGTAAATTTCGTCACTTAACAATTATGAGTCATGTTGTAAACAAGAAAAACATTATTTACCTCCACTTCATTCACTCCACTATCAACCCTAATAAGTCTTCGTTAATAATGAAGTTTTTCCTAGTCTTTGATATTTTTTCTGTCAAGATTAAGATAATGAATTTATCAATTTAAGAATATAATAATTAGGAATGATAAAACAGATTAAATTTGGTAGACAAATTTGTCAATTTATTTAAATTGACAAGTCAGAACAATAATTTTAATTTATCTATTCGTTTTATCTTATTTCGTGTAATATGTCAATATAACGTGCCAAAAATAAAATGGGTAAACTAATATATTTTTTTGAAAAGATATTTATAAATAAAAATAATTTATAATATGAAAATATATTATTATATTATAATTTTAAACTATTTATTATGATTTAAATATTTTAACATGTAATCATTTTCTCAATTTATCCAATAAAATATATTAATTAATAAATAAAAATCTATATAATATATTTTATGTATATTTTTAAAAATATAAAACTTTTTTTATATATAAAAAAGGAAACTTAAGAGACAAAACTACTTTCTGAAAAAGTAAATTAAGATTTATAATTTATATTAGTTACGATGAATTAGCCCACCTCCTCCCGTTTTAAGGGGCAAGATGGGTTGAGTTGGTTGGTTTTCCTAGCCGTGGTAAAAATGTAAATGTTAAGATTTTCAATACTTTGATCCAAGCCCAATGTAAAATGAGGCCCATTATTTGAAATCTCTAGGAAAATAAAACTAGGTCGCAGGGCCCATTCGCAGGATTCACGTTCTCTCTAGAATCTTCCGTGATAACCGGGACTGGTAAAAAAAAACCCTAATAAAGAACTACGGACAACCCCAAATTACCCCTCACAGAACGAGGTTTCTAGTTGCTTGTTCTAGCATTTTCCAAACAACGATATAAAAGAACAAAGTGGAAAGGGTAGTTATCTGAATTTGCCACTTCTATTCCGATACAGTGAAGAAATGGCGCAAGACTTGGCATTGGATTTGGAAGAGCTTCGCCACCTCCATAGCATCGCCAAACGACCTCGAACCCTCTCTCTACTTTCCTCAGAGATTCGCAGCCTCGAAAAGGTTCTCAATTTACACACTCATTGTAAATTTCCCCGTTTTATCACTTTTTGTGCGTTGTTTCCATTTATTGCTTTTTTATTCCTTCTTGTGATAATTTATGAGGCGATTTTGCAGGTATCGTCAGAGGCACCTGCTGCGCGCTCTTCGCAGATTCCTGCACCGATTTCAACCGGAGCCAAGGTGGCGCCTTCACCTGCACTGAACTACGCCACACTCGCATCGTTCAGTTGGGATCAGGATGGCGACAAAGTCAAGGTAAGGAGTCGTATAATTCTATTCGTGGAGATACACGTCATCATGATTTTAGAGTTTACATCTGAAAGTTGTTGATTTGAATGGTGCTTTCTACCCGTGTTCAAATTTTGATTGTTCTATTTCAATAATTTATCTCGCATGATGTTTTGTGTCATAAGTTACGTAGAAATTGGCAGACCAGACTACTTGATGGTCTGAATTATCTAATTAGTTCTCGTGAGTGGCTATGGAGACATTTTCCTTTGACTAGTTATCAGACTGAATTGCTCGTTTATTTACTTCCAATTTACCACAAGCTAAGCTCTTACTTTTAAGAGATTTAGTTTGGTCCTCTCTATCCCGTCCCTTACGTTCGATGTTAAAAACCACCAATCATAGTTGTTAAAAATCACAACGTAATTAGGATCCACCAAGTTTGGATTTTGAGTGTGACCCATAATTTGTTTGATGGTGTTGGAGATGCCCAATGTGTTATTCTCCAACATCTCGACATCAAGTTAGGCCTTTTAAAGGATCTCTTAGACAGGTCACCCACACGCATGGTGGTGCTGACTATCGATGGGATGGTGCAGTGGTAGAACCATGAGAGCACCAATGAGGTCAAGGAAGCTAAAAGTTAAAATATTTATTGGTGGTTTTAAACCATAAAAAAAAAATTTGAAAGCTTTCAAAATTTTCTGACGTTTAGAGTAGCGGAGGGTGCCTGTCGGTTTTTCTGGTTAATTGAAGAGGTAAGGGAAAATAATAAGGGATTTGAAGGGACGAAAGAAGCATTTGGTTAAATGGATGAAGAAGAGTGATATTGTTGGAGCAGCAATGGAGGCCATCTTCTTTATGTTTGTTGGTGTCAGAGAAAGAATGACGAGGACGAAAAGAGAAAAGGAAAAGTTTAAAATGGTTATTTGTAATGTGTTTACAGCAAGTTCAGGCTGAAGCCACCAAAAAATTGTTTATACATGTTAAAAGCTAAACTAAATTAGCAATTTAAAATCGTTAAAGAAAATGCATACTTGTAATATTTTGTAATGTTTAAACTAATGGACAGAACAAGAAAGGGTCATATTGAACATAAAAAATAAAATAAAAGATTGAATCTTAAAAGATAAATCACCAAATGAAACATAAAATAAAAGATAAAGGACTAATAGTAGAATTTAATCTTTATTTTTTATGAAGTGAGAGAATGGAAAATATATTAGAAATAGATAGAATATAAGCAATTCTATCACAATGACAGAAGGCCAAAATTCCGCCATACTGTGGTTTATGGTGGTTGTGCTGCTGCCATATAACAGCATTGATTACTAGTAGATTTCATTTTGTACTTCAGAAAATTAGAGGAAGAAGAATAGAGGTGCTGAACAAAATTGGATGAAGTATAGTTATCAAGTTCCATTTTATTCAAAGCAATGTTATGAATGAAAGTTATTATCATTCCATTTTAGTCTAAAAGAATATAACTAATAATAGTATGTCTGGATACACATTGTCCTTCCCCTTATACATGTGTAAGATAGACAGCAAGAACTGCAGCTTCTGTGTCTTTCTACAAAACTGGTGGAATTTTAAGCATCAATAGCGTACACCAAAACATACACTGTAACTTAATAGTTACATATTTTATCAACAGTATCAGATTTCTCCTGATGACTAGTGTTATTTGTTGTTTGACAGATATATGTATCAATGGAGGGAATTGATGAGGAAAAGATTGAATCTGACTTTAAGTCAATGTCATTCGATGTAAAGTTCCATGATGTTCAAGGGAAGAACTACCGATGCGCAATATCGAAACTGCATAAGGAGATAGTACCGGAGAAATGCAAGGTTGTGGTCAAGCCTAAGAGGGCAATCATCACATTGGTGAAGGCTTCCAAAGGAAACTGGCTAGATCTGCACTTCAAAGATGACAAGGTAATAAGATGCTAAGATAAAAATGAAAGTTTTTTTCCCAATTAAGCAACGTGACAAGTAGTAACTTTCGTGTTGATGATGCAGCTAAAGCCAAATTTGGATAAAGAGAAAGATCCGATGGCAGGAATCATGGACATGATGAAGGTCAGATTCTGTTTCACCTATAGTTGGCTTAAGCTACTCTGTTTTAATTTCATGCATGTATGTACCCTTTGTGAATATTCATTTGACTTTTGCTATGCATGTAACATTGCAGAATATGTATGAGGAAGGGGATGATGAGATGAAGAAAACAATTGCAAAAGCATGGACTGATGCTAGATCTGGGAAATCAGGTGACCCTCTAGGTAGCTATCGTTGAGCGAACAACCAACAGAGTTTGAGATTCTTCGTTCCTGTTTCTAGAGAATGACCTGCTTTATATAATTACAATATTTTGTTATAAAATGAATGCTTGACCTTTGTTAATGGCATTTGTAGAAGTTTAGTTGTGCAGTTAATTGTTACCGAAGTTCTACTTTTTCATAGACGTGATTTTTGCCTGGTTGCTCGAATATATTTCTGTAGTGTGGAGATGTGCTTTCAATTTTTTTTTTTATTCACAGATTAATTTTAAAACTTCAACTGCATATGGATGATTAAAATTGACATTGAAATAATGTAATTTATGTTTTGATTCTTATTATAAATTTAAGTTAATCACAGTTTCTGTAGAACAAAAAGTTAATTACAAAGTTCAGTAAAATTAAAATTTAGTTAATAGTTTCTGTGTAATTTAATTTGATATTCCATTTGAATTGAAGAGTGAAAAATGATAAAATACATATAGGTCAAATAAGAATGAAGTATATATTACTTTGTCATTGTTTATATGGATAATGATAATATTTTACTTCATTAAGATGGTTAATTAATTTTATTGTAAATATGTTTGGGTTTGAAAATCATATCACCAATCATTCGATTTGATTTGACTATAGATCTTTATGTTCATTTGCAAAGTTACGGGTAACGATAACTCTTGAAAGTCATTTTTTCATTTTCATAACCATGGATATATGACTCATGCTTATCTATCGTTGGTTTTCTTTGAACAAAAGATAACAAATATTTCAGGGTAAGTCTTGTTCCCCATATTACGTTTTTGTTTTTTCAAATGATTAAGAGATACATGAGTAAGATTCATACTTCTTTTAAAGTACAATTCGTATATTTTGTTAGCTTGGTTTTTTATATGCCCATATCTTTTCTTTTTTGGGTAAACTCAGATAGTCATATTATGGTAAAATTTGCTGAGTGAAATGAGAATTTGTTGAGAAAAATTGGATAATATTGAAAAACAAAAAGGAAAACAACATGAAATACATCAATTTGCTAAGAGATTGGCTAAAGCTTTGAGTAAGTTAGTAACAAAAGGCAATTTTTTTGTGATTTTTAATATATAACAAAAACTAAATGAAATAATAACAAATATGTATAATAAATCTTTTAAACTGAATAAAATTTAATGAAAGAAAAAATATGCAATAATTAAAAAAATTATATCATATTTTTTTGAAAAATGAATAAAATTTATGATATCGTTTTTTATGAAATTATTAATTTAATCATATTTTAAAATATTATTATTTTTTATTAAATTTTGAAGATAATAGAAAAAAATATGTATATATTTATATGTATAAATATCTCAATTTTATAAATTTATATTACTTTTATGTTATAAATAATTATTAAAATTGATAACTATTTTTTATTTTAAAAGTGATTAATTTATTAATAATATTTGTTTTTTAATTTGATTTTTTTATTTAATTTTAGGTTGATATTATTTTTCTTGTTATAATGATATGAAATATTATGTAAAATAATATTATCTTTAAATGATATAAAAAATAATTTTATAACTTTATCTATCTATTTTTATTTATATTATAAAAATTTAAATTGATAGTTTTATTAATTAATCATGACAAATAAATCTAAAAATATTTACTTATTTTAATTCTTAAATTTTAACTTTCATTTATACAAATTTATATAACAAACTTAAGGTCTAACAAGACTCATAATCAATAAATTATAATATGAAAAATAAAAATTTTAATTTCTATATAAATATATGTAGAAGTCTTATAGGTGAGACTTCTTCATTTAAAAAAAAATTGAAAACTAAAATTGTTATATAAATATCATTTTTTTCAGTTTTAAATCATGATTTATAATATGACTTTTTACATTTATAATTTTTTTTTAAAAATTATTCATTTTAGTAATTCTTTTTAAATTACCTCTTTTATGTAAATTATATTAAAAAAACTGATCTTATTTTTTTTTATCAAAATTGATTCAATTAAAAAATGCAGACAATTTTTTCTAATTTTATTATTTTGTCCTAGTTTTTTGGATTTAATTAAAATCTATTTATTTAAAAATAATAATACACCTATTCCCGATTAGATAAATTGAACTCATCAATCTGATTTGATTTTTAAAATAATTATTTTTAACCATTATTCATCTTAATCATTATTTTTAACTAGAATTAGATGATTTCAAAAACATGTTCTTAAACCACTACTTATTAAAATCATTATGAATAATTCTTTATTATTATTAACAAATTATAAATGTTATATTTCAAACTGCTTACTAAGCATAGGTTTAAAACAGATAAAAATATATGATATCAAGGGATAATAGAAACGTATATAATTCTTACAAATCACAATTGTATTGTATTACTTAATCATAGTAAATAAACATAATATATAATCTTCAATTTTACCTTAGTAAAAACACAATTGTAATGCTTAATGCATTATAATAAACAAGAGAATAAGTGAATGACCCAGTATAGTTTTTATCTGATATGAATATGAGTTTTAAGATAGGTTTAATTTGATATACCGATTAAAAAGTAAAAAAAATATATGTTAAATTATGTCAAAAATTTTATAGTTTAAATTAAATTATACTTATTTTAGTCTAATTCATTTAGATTATGATTATTTAAGTTTAGATTAGATTAGTATATAGGTTTATGGTAAGTTCATTTTATAAAATAATAATTATTTTTAAATAAAAATGAAATTAATATTGTTTTATTAATATATATATATATTATAAATTAATTTTTAGAATAAAATATTATATTAAACTTAAAACAATTATTTATTTTAAGATTTAATAACTAAGATTAATTATAATTTTAGATTAATAAATTATTAAAAAATAAATTTATGTTAATAAAAAGTAAGTTTTTAAATTTTATTTTAAAATTAAATGAATGTATTATTTTATAATTTATATAATAAAATGAATAAAAATTAAAATATATTCTTTCTAATGTTGAGTCGATACTTGAGCGGTTAACGGAGATGAATGGTAAATTAGTTGATAATATGTTTATATTAATTCAAATCCCACTCAACCTAAGAATTTGACTGTCCACGGAAATTTTATAACTCATATCTTGTTACTGTTTTTCGAAAATGACTGATGTTATTTTTTTTATGTATTACATATTTCCTTTCACAAATTAAAATTTTACTAATAATCTTGCTAAATTATATAATAAATCGCTTGTTTTGACAACACAAATTAGACTTTTTTAAAATTCAGTAGATATCTAATTAATATAGTGGCCTTCACTCACGTTTGAACTTAAAATTTTAAGATAAAATTTCAGCTGTCCTAGTCTATTTTTAACCCATGTCTAATTATTTGGACCATTAATCTTTCAAAAGATATTTTTTACCATAGAATTTCGTTACTCATTATTTGGATCATTCATCGTCAACAGTTTTATCTCAATGGAAATTAGTCACTTATTTTAATTACTATTTGTACCAGTAATCTACCAAAATCAAAGTTTTCTTTTACAGTTACCTGTCTTAATCTTTAATTGGACCATTAACTTTTTAAAGAGGGAGTTTCTCACATTGAAAATTAGTAATTGGTCATCTTAATGATTATTTACCAATACCTTTGAAACTAGCAATTTTTATTTTTTAATAATGGAACTTAGTTACATATCTTAATTGTAATTTGGATCATCAACCTTTTAAAAATGTAGGTTTTCACAATGAATGACTCAAATGTTAATGTTTATTTTGACCACTAACCTTTCAAATGGGTAGTTTTCCACAACGGAAATTAACTCTTCCTAGTGATTATTCGGACCATTAGCCTTTCAAAATGATAGTTTTTTCGCACCAAAACCTAATTAATTACTCATCTTAATAGATATTTGGACCATTAGTTTTTCAAAATAATAATTTTTCACAAAAGTTACATAGTTTTAAGAGAGGTTAACATTGTTTTCGGATTTAGAGATGATGTGAACATGACTTATGATAAGGGTTAGAGCAAGAAAAATAAAGGGAACTCTTTGTTGGTTAACCAAATTATGTTTGAATTAATCAATTAATGAGTTTTAGTTTGATTTTGTTTTAAGTTGTAATAAAGACCCAATTGAAAATTTAGTCATCAGCATCAAGGGGTGCATAGCTGATTGACTTTTGGTTGTCAAAGTTTCAGATACAATCTGTCATTAAGTAGTTTCAATTTCTAGGTTAATTGATCATTATTAGTCTTTATTTGTTTTCATTAAATAGTTTTCAATTCCTAGATTAATGAGTTATTATTAGTATTTATTTTCTTTTATTGAGTCTTTGTAATTCTGATGAGAATACTTCTATATCAACTGAACCATTTTTATCAAGAAATAACACATGAAATTTTATTCAGAAATATTAGAGTTTATCTTTTTATCTTAGTGAGAATGATTCTCCTAAGTTCTTGAGTGATTCAAGAATTCTTAACTGTATCAAAGGACTGTTATATCTTTTGTGTGTTGCCTCTCTTAAAAAGAGTGATTCTTCTTTCCTTCTATTTTTTTTAATTCTTAAATTTCTTACAAAATTGTAACCCTAAATCATCTCTTGTGATTCATATAAGAGATCATATACAAGATAAATATATATATATCTCTATCTATAATTAAAAATTATAGTCAATAAATTTCTCGATTTTTTTTTAATTATACGTTATTCAATTTTAAATTTTAATAAATTAGACGTTAATTATTTTGATCAATACATTTAAACACTGAACCCTAAAATGACACCGCTTCCTAAAAAAACTGAACCCTAGAAATGCAAGAATTCTTATACCCACTTAATTTCTTTTACTTTTTGAAAGATGTTGAGAACTGAACCCAAACACACACACATTTTAATTTTTTTTACTTGGTGACATGTGTTGTCCACTACTTTATAGGTTAATAGATGTTAAATATATATATTTGGGTGAAAACCTTGATCCTCTACCCACCTCCTTAAACAAACCATATTCTTAATTCCTAAATCTTAAATATAGCCAGTATTTTTATTAAGTTATTAATTTAATTATATTTTAAAAATAAATATTTTTATTAAATTTTAATAACTATAAGACATGAAAAAAAATATTATTATTTTAATTAAATTTTAATAAATAAATATTTTTTTATTAAATCTTAATAGAAATAATACATGAGATAAATATTTATATATATATATATATAAATATATTAAATTTATATGTTTAGATTGTTTTTATGTCAAATAAACTGTTAAAAGTAATTATGTGATATTTTTCATTTAATTTTGAATATTTTCATCTATTTAAATTAATATTTTAATTATAATAAAATAATATATTATTAAAGAATAATAAATAAATTTAAAAATTTGAAAAAATATGAAAATATTAACAGTCAAATTAATTAGTTAAGAAAAATAAACTTAAACTTAATATTTATTTATTATATTTATTGGTTTTAATTCTTAAGATAAAAAAAATGTATGACTGAAAATAAAATAAATACAAATAAAAAAATATCAGTTGAAGATAAATAAATAAATAAAAAGATTAACACCTAATTAAAAATAAATATAAAATAAAATAAATATAAAATAAAAAATAAATATAAAATAAGAATATCGAAGATAAATAAATAAAAAATTAACATAAATTGAATAATTTTTTAATTGTTAAAAAATTAAGAAATATCTATAATATTTAAGGGAGAACGACAATATTTAGATAATTCTGAAGATTTTATAATCAAGCTATTAATCTTTCAGTCATAAATGATCAAACTGTTAAAAGAAAACTGCCACTAAATATTTATTTATTTTTATCTAAACTAAACTTATGTATATTGTTAAATAATAATTTTTAAAATCATACATTTTTTATAAATATAATGGTTACCATAGCTAAGAATGAATTATCTTTTAATAAATTATTTTATTCTTTATCAAATAAAAATAATTTAACTATTTGGTAAAACACAAATTAATTTATATTTTATGGAATACTTAATTTATATTTTATAAAATAATTAATTTATTTTTTTAATACAAATTTAAAAATCCATAAAATAATAAAGGATACCTTCTCGATAATATATATAATTATTTTATAAATATTTTATTACAATGATATTGTTTATTTTTCATAATCAAATTTTGTATATAAATATTAAATAGATCTAGTTAAGTAAATAAATTGATAAATATTCTAATTAAATTTTTTGTTTTAATATAATATTGATTTTCTTTGTATTCAATCTCCTCTTTAACGGACTCAACCTCCAAAATATAGTCAAAATTTTGAAATAAGTGTCAAATTAGTTTTTATATATACATTAAAATTAATATAGAAAATCTTAAATTTGTAGATATTTTTTTTATTATACCAAAGTATTAATATTTAATTCTCATAATTTAGAAAAAGTTTGTTGATAAGGATGATTGATAATGGTTCCTATTATATTATAGGTTGTTGAATTTTAAAATATAATTTAAAATTTAAAAAATCAGAATGACGCAGCGGAAGCGTGGTGGGCCCATAACCCACAGGTCCCTAGATCGAAACTAGGCTCTGATAAATAAAAATATGTTGGTTTCTTTTTTACCGAATAGGAAATATTGATTTTAAAATATTTTTATACTATATCAATAATATTTTAAACATTAATAGTTAAATTTAAATTTGATAACTAAAGTTTATTTTATTATTTATTTTCATTTTTTCTTAAAAAATTATTTAAATGAGTTGTCAATTGTATCGAACTAACTTTGTTAATTTAAAACTACTTTACATAGCTTGATGTGTTATATTTATACTATAATTAGAAACATGTGATGTGGTAATTGTTAGGTAAGTTTGCTGATTTCTTACCGAATATATAATAAAAAGTATTGATTTCAACAAATTCAGAAAGAATATTGTCATTCCATAATAACAACATTTTAAATATTATTAATTGAATTTAAATTTTGTAAATAAAGTTTATTTTAATATTTATTCTCTTTTTTCTCTTGTAAAAATTAGTTATTCCCTATTTTTTTCTTAAATATATCTAAAGCTCAACTTTTTTTTTACATTGTAAAATAAATAAAATATTAAAACAACAAACTAATTAGTAATAAGTAAAAATACATTAATTTACTTATTTTTTCTTTAATTTAAAAAAATATATTACATTTACATGGTATTTTCTATAAATTTTTAACTTCTTATCTTTTAATTTCTAATACTAGTGGATCTTTGAAGAAAATAAAACTAAAGAACAAAAAATTATAATTTATATATTATCAAGACTAAATGAGGAAAGGAGAAAAAATATATAAATATAAAAGTAAAAAAAGTAGTCCCTTCTATAAAAAAAAGTTGAGTTGAAAGTAGGTAAAAAATGTAAAATAGGAAAAAGAAAACAAAATATGAACATAAAAAAATGAAATAAAAAAATATGTGAGAGAGAAATTGTGTAAAAAAATATAAAAAATATTTATTATTATTATTTTTCAATAAGAGATCAAAATATAAAAATTAAATTTTATTTAAATTTAAAATTTCTTTTTTTATTTTATTTTAACGAGATATATATATGAATTTTGATGATGTGGACTTTCATCTTTTATCTATATTTTTAATAAAAGTATCAAAATATGTTTAATTCATTGGATCAATTCAAAAGATTTAAAAAAAATTTAGATTACAAAATTGAAAATTTAAATTTAAATTTGAGTTTAATGTTGAGTAAAAAATATTGTTAGATGTGTAATTTTGAATTTGAATCAATCTTAACTCCAAAGCAATCTTAATCGTGTGATAGAATAGGTGGAATGTTTCATGATTAATTCATATCTTTCGATTCTTGCTCACATTTTTTTACTTTATTTTAATTGTCTTTAAATTATCATTTAAGAAAATTAAATATAAATTGACTTTTTTTATTAACATTAGTATTTTGTTTCATCAGTTATAAGGTGAAACTCTAGTAATGATTGTTTTTCTGCACACACATATAAAATGGAAAGAACATATCACCAAGTATATATAGGAAATCGGTCCATCGTCAAGACATTTACATGGTGTAACAATTGGGAATCTTAACCAAGACACCTTTTAGTGTAATATATCTAGGGAATTTATATTTTGACAACTTCATAAATATAATAATTATAAAATGATTTTAAAAAATAAAAATAAATTAAAATTATTATTATAATATTAAAAGTGAATTATTTTTAAAGTTATATGATTTGGAGTTATCAAAATATCATTTATTTTCTACGCTGATATTTTGAAAAATAAAAAAATCGTACAAGTCACTTCTATATATTCTGGACGCTGTGTTTGGTTCCCATAATTGAAGTATTTATCTACAACAACACTGGTCTCATTCTGGTGGAAAGTGAAGATAAAGCACAGTAATGGAATCTTGGTTCATCATCCTTGTCTCTGCGTTTGTGTGTGTCATCATAAGAGTCATATTCTCCCTTCACACCAAAACCATCAGCACCCCTCCAGGCCATCTTCACATCCCAATCATCACAACCATCCTATGGGCCCGAATATCCTTCTACCAACTCGAGCTAATTCTCCGAACCCTCACGCCAAGTTTGGTCCCATTGTCACCCTCCGCGTGGGGTCTCATCGAGCCATATTTATCGCGGACCGCACCCTCTCCCACCAAGCTCTCGTCCAAAACGGCTCCCTCTTCTCCGACCGCCCCAAGGCCCTCTCCATCTCCAAAATTGTAAACAACGACCAACGCAACATCACATCCACCTCCTACGGACCCACGTGGCGTACCTTCCGCCGAAACCTCACCTCGGATATGCTCCACCACTCCCGCGTCAAGTCCTTCTCTGGGATCCGCAAATGGGTCCTCCACACCCTCCTCACCCACCTTAAATACGATTCCCAGTCCAACTATTCTTTCAGAGTCATCGACCGCTTTCAATATGCTATGTTCTGCTTGCTCGTCTTCATGTGCTTCGGGGAACAACTCGATGATGGCAAAATCAGAGATATCGAGCGCGTGAACCGTCAGTTACTTCAAGGGTTCACCAGGTTCAGAATCCTTGATATCTGGCACAAGGTCACACGTATTTTGCTCTGAAAACGTTGGGAGGAGTTCTTGAGGTTTCGCAAGGAGCTAGAGGACGTGCTAATTCCACTTATAAGAGCCAGGAAGCAAAAGTAAGCGCAGGAGGAAGGTGTTATTTCGTACGTTGATGCTCTGTTGAATTTGCAGTTGCTGGAGGAGAGACGCAACCTCAACGAAGGGGAGATTGTGACGCTATGTAATTTTGAACGGGGGTACGGACATGACTTCCACGGCGTTGCAGTGGATTATGGCTGACGAATTTGGTGAAGTACCCGCAAGTGCAAGAGAGGTTGGTTGATGAGATAAGGGAGGTACTGGGTGAGAGAGAGCAGAGGGAAGTGAAAGAGGAGGACTTGCAGAAATTGCCTTATCTGAAAGCTGTGATTTTGGAGGGTTTAAGGCGTCACCCACCTGGGCACTTTGTGTTGCCGCATGCAGTGACTGAGGACGTGATTTTTAACGATTACTTGATCCCAAAGAATGCGACTGTGAATTTCATGGTGGCAGAGATGGGGTGGGACCCTAAGGTATGGGAAGATCCAATGACGTTTAAGCCAGAGAGATTTATAAGTGATGAGGGCTTTGATATTACTGGAAGTAAAGAGATCAAGATGATGCCCTTTGGTGCAGGGAGGAGGATTTGCCCTGGTTATAATTTGGCATTGCTTCATTTGGAGTACTTTGTGGCTAATTTGGTTTGGAATTTTGAGTGGAAGCTTCCAGACGGAGGGAAAGTGGATTTGTCAGAGAAACAAGAATTCACTGTGGTAATGAAAAACGCATTGCAGGTTCATCTTTCTCCTAGGAAATAGACTCTGATCCATCTCATTGTATACTTATAATAATTTGCCTCTCCGATCATGGTTTGGAAAATAATTTTATGATATATTATGGATAGATAGATATTTGGTGGTTATAATGAATGTTTAGTTTATTGATTTTAGACTTGTCTATTGGATTTTACATAAACCACTTAATAAGATAATATACTCTGAATGCTATTGTATGTATCATAAACAGGGGAAGAACTATGTGTTTTATATTTTAGAAGTTCTATTTTGCATTGTTAAGATGATCAGTTTGTCAGATTTTGGTATCTGTCGACAATGACCATTTATCACGAGGTTGTAATTCTCATTCCATTTTATCAAAATGGATAGAACTATAAAAAAATTATGAATATAGAAAATTCATACTTTTGGAAGGAAAATATTTGATATACACCCCTCAAAATTTTACCCATCCAACACCCAATATCTTCTGTTTATTATTTCTTAACGTTATTACGTGAATTCCCGTCTGGGATAGGTCTCCCCAAACATAAATATCAGAACTTATTTTTTTTGTGGTCTTTTCTTAATTCTAAGACTTTTTCTCCATCGGTCTATTCAAATTCATGTTTTATCGAGTAGGTAATTATCTTATACGCATTTTTTTTATGTAGTTGGTGTGATTCCGAAAATGATTTTCATTATATATTTAAAAGAGATATTTGACTTTCAGCCCACACTTTATATCGATTAATTGACGGAGTGATGACCTAAATATTATACATTCCTTTAGTCTCAAATGTTTAGCTAAATCAATAAATTGTGTCCTTTTCCTAATTATTCAACCATTTGGATAAATATTGAACTCGGCATTAAAGGTGGAATGAGAAATTTTCGATGAGGTCATGTTAGATATAATATATATTAAAATTATTTATAATATAAAAATATATATTATTAAAAATTATAAATCATCTAAGTATATTTACATGTGTCATAATAGGTTTAATACGATGGATCAGCTCGAAAGATCCGAAAAATAAATCAGATTAGGTAAAAAAACTTATTACTTAAATACTAGATAATTTTGACCCGACCTATTTAGGTCAGACTTAAATGTGTTTAAGTTATGGGTCGACTTGTTTTATAAAATAATAATTATCTTACCAATAAAATAAAATAAATATTATTTCATTAAAAAATATATGTGTAATAAATTAATTTGATAATATATTTTGATATATATATATATATATATATATATATATATATATATATATATATAATTTAGAAAGAATAATAAACTCTAACATAATTTCATTTGTTTTGGTCATTTTTTTTTATTGTTGCACTCACATTTACTTTTAAGGAATAATAATTTAAGACAATATATTCTTAAATATAGTGTATTTCCAAAATATCATGATGTGGGGATTATGTTAGATAATAAGACTTTGAAATAATGAAATTTGACTATAAAATTTACTGGAGACGTACTTACTAAATATATTATTAAACATGATCTTTAATTTAGCTAAGTTGAGTATGAGGGAGTTTATGAGGTAAATAAAGTTTTGAATCCCGATTTTAAATCAATTACTAGAAATATTTCAATTATGTTTATAACATGTATTTAACTGGAAAGAAAAAGTTAAAAGATGTGTTATCTAATATTTCCGGTAAGATATGTTTGACTTCTTATATATGAACAATTATAATTAGCTACATAATTGTAACAATTTATTTATATGATTTTATACATTTAATTTTATTTGACCTAAATAAATTATAAGTTAATTAAATAATTTTATATATTTGATTTTATTTTTCATAAATAGATTATGAATTAATTTTAAATAAACAAATGAATAACATTTTATATAATTAAATTAAATATGTTATAAGCGTGTTTAATGATCACTACAAGAAAAATCACATTTATCCACCGAAATTAGCGATCGAATTTTTCGATCGCAATTAGCGACGATTTAATTTTGGTCGCAATTAGCAACCGATTTAGCGACCACTTTAATTCGCTCGCAATTAGCGACCGATTTAGCGACCAAAATATGAATTGGTTTTCATTTTGTTATTTAGCGACCGAAATAACGACCAATAGTTTGCGTCGCAAAATTTCGGTCGCTAAATCGGTGGCTATTCCACACTAAAATAAAAAAATCATTTAGCGACTAATTTAACGATCGAATTACAAATTGAAATAGTGACCGAATTATAATCGGTCGCTAATGAGAAAATAGCGACCGAATTTAAATCGATCGCTAACTTAACATTATTTTTTTATGATATTTAAATTTATTTTTTTATAAATATACTTTAATTGTTTTAGTATATTTTTGACAATTTATTTTTTAAAAGTAATTTATTTTCTAAAAATAATTTAATTTTTAAAAGATACTTTAAAAATAAACTTTGGTCTCAATATTAACAAAATGAAGATTAACTTTAATTTTAAATTACTAAAATAAAAATATTATTAAAAATAAATCAAATTTATTAAAAATTTAAATTGTAATAAATTAAGACTAGAGTAATATTAACTATTCAATACATTGTTTAAGAAAAGTTTAATAATAAATATTCTTTAATTTATTTTTCAAATGAAAATTTCAATTGAAATTAAATTATATTTTAAAAATGTATATTAAAAAAATTAAACACATCAAATGATCACATTTTAATTCCTCATTAACTTAATTAATTAAGAAAATAAAATTTTAATCAAATAATTACAATTTTATTTTATAAAACTTTATTTTTAATCTAATCTTTAAATTTATTGCTTTATTATTATTAATTACTTAACCATGGTTATTTTCATATAATTGATATACAAAAAAATTATATCAATATACATTAGATAATCAATATACATTAGTTTAAGTATACTAATTAATATTTTTTCATTTTTAACATAATTAATAACAAAGATTAAAAATAGATCTGCTAGAAAAGTTAAAAATTTAAAACTAATCTATTTTATAAATACTAAAAATAAAGCATATTTAAATAAATTAAAAATATATTTAAATTTATATTTGAAACTATATAATAGCGGTTCCACGTTAACCGCTATCTAAGCTATATTTTAGATAGCGGTTAAGGTTTAACCACTATTAGATGTTCTGTTTTAAGAGCGGTTCTAGTGGAACCGCTATCATATACAATCATTATGATCGATTAAATTTTTAAATAACTGATCATATTGGATAATTTTTTCAAATAATTAATTATAATCGATTAGTTTTCTAAATAATTGATTAGAATTGATTAGTTTTTCAAATAATAGATTATAATTGATTAATTTCTCAAATATACATTAAAAAATTATAAATAAAAATATAAATTACTTAAGAATATTAATTATTGTATGAAAGTGATGAAGATCTTATTGAAACACTCGACAAAGATCTTATTGATTTGATGAAGTCAAAGATAAAGTCAAAGTCAACTTTGTAGCGGTCAACGATTACTTTGATAAAAGAGTAGAGGAATTAGTGTGTCTTCGACTATGCTTAGGTATAATCATTTTTATCTTTTCTGCTGCATGAGGTTTCTTCACTTAAAAGATTTTGCAAAATGCCTCTAAATACGTTTAAGCGAGTTAAAAACAAAGTATTTTAACAAAAACTTTCTTAAACAAGTTTTTAACCGATATAATTTCGAAATAACCTAGGTTGTTTTCATTAAAGAAAGTTTTGAAAACCTTCATCGGTGTTTTAACCGATAAAGCTTCGAAATAACCGATTAAAAACACTTAAAATGTTAAGAGAAGTGTTTTTGCAGTATTTTAATCGATACAACTTGGTTTTAATCGATTAAAACGAGTAATGCAATTATGACCGATCAGAATCAAGATATGATCGATTAGAATTGAGTTATGACCGATCGAAGCTTTTTCAATCGATTAAAACACGTTTCAATCGATTAAAACAACTCAACATTTTAATCGATTAAAACTTATTTTTATCAGTTAAAATCACTTGGAAAAACTCACAATAAAGTTTTGCGAGTATTTCAATCGATTGAATCACTGAAACAATCGATTAAAACAAATTAGAAGATCTTTTGTAAAGAGTTTTAATTGATATAAATGTTGTCAGTATCGGTTAAAACAAATCGTTAAAGAATCAAGAACGTTTTAATGGATTAAAAGAATTTTTAACATATTAAAACTGCACTTTTAACAGATTAAAAGATTATTTTAACAGATTGATTAAACCAATAGCTTTGAAAATCTTCTATAAAAACAAGTTTGGCTTGAACTTTTTAAACACACATTGAACATCAGCTTTTACACATCCTTGAGCAATCAATCAAGCAAACTTTAGCACTCTTTTCATTATCGATTATAATTAGAAATGATTGATCATAATTGAGAAGATATAATAAGCGGTTCCACGTTAACCGCTATCTAAAGTATATTTTAGATAGCGGTTAAGGGTTAACCACTATTAGAAGTGCCCTTTAATAGCGGTTCAAGTGGAACCGCTATCATATACAACCATATTTTTTTATTCTGATCGATTAGATTTTCAAAATGATCGATCATATTTGATAATTTTTTCAAATAATTAATTATAATCGATTAGTTTTCTAAATTATTGATTAGAATTGATTAGTTTTTCAAATAATAGATTAGAATTGATTAATTTCAAAATATATACTAAAAAATTATAATTAAAAATATAAATTATTTAAGAATATTGACTATTGTAAAGATAAAGTAGAACATGAGAGGAGATGAGGATGATAATATAATGATAGAACTTACAAAAATGTAGAATTGAGAAGTTTGAAACAAATAAAATTAAGAAAATAGAGATTTAATGACACTCTTAATAAATTTAAGATAATACTAGTTTTGATTTTTATGTTTAAATATTTATTTTAATTATTTAAAACAGAGAAACTATAATTTTAGTTTCTAAATACTGAATTTAAAGAATTAAATTTATTATTATTTAATCTTTTAATTTTAGTATTAAAAATTTAAATTATATTTTATTAAATTAAAATAATTA